ACTACAGGTGCGTGCCTGCACCTGGCTGATTTTTCTATTTTTAGTAGAGACAGGGTCTTCCTCTTGCTCAGGCTGGTCTCAAACTCCTGAGCTCAAGTGATTCTACCACCAGCCTCCCAGAGTGCTAGCATTACAGGTGTGATCCACTGTTCCTGGCCTTTAAAAATAATTTTAAGTACCCTTGTGATTACATTGAGTCAGTTGGTTAGTTCTGGATGACTTCACTTTTTTTTTTTTGAGACAGGGTCTCACTCTGTCACCCTGGCTAGAGCACAGTGGTGTCATCTTAGCTCACAGCAACCTCAAACTGCTGGGCTCAAGCAATTCTCCTGCCTCAGCCTCCTGAGTGGCTGTGCTACAGGTGCCCACCACCATGCCCGGCTAATTATTTTTATTTTTTGTAGAGACAGGCTCTCACTATGTTGCCTAGGCTGGCCTCAAGCGATCCTCCCAACTTGGCCTCCCGAAGTGCTGGGATTATAAGCGTGAGCCACCACACCCGGCCTATCAGTTTTATTTTGTTTTGTTATTTTATCCATTTGTTCCTATCAGGTATTTCTCATGGCTATAACAATACAGTGGAGTTAACTGACTTCAGGAGTCATGGTTAAGAGACAGGTGCTGGGCAAGTTACTTACCAAACCTCTCCTCTGAGTCTCCACTGTCTCACCTAAGGATACTTACCTGCCTCCTAGGGTTGTCAGGATTAAGTAAGATAACAAGTAAAGAGCTTAGCACAGGGCTTGGCACATGGTAATTGCTCTGTAAATTTTGTTGCTATTAATATAAGCTATTATGGTTTATTGTAAAGTATAAGTGTAACCCAAGGGAAGCAAAATTCCATGGAAAAAATGTCTAATTATGACCTGCCTCAAAGTATAAAATAAAAGTGAAGGTGTGTAGTTAGTGATTACAAGTTTATCTAGAACCGTATCTGTCCAAGTCCCAGTACTCCATCCACTACACCACAAACTTCAGGGCAGGGTCAGGAGGGAGACAAGGTGCTGACTGGGAGGGGAAGCAAGGGAGAGTTCTAGGGGTGCTGCTAAGTTGCTTCTTGATCTGGGTGCTGGTTACACAAGTGTGTGCAATTTGTAAAAATTCAGTGAACTGTACATTTGTGTACATTTACCTGCTCACGCGCTCTCTCTGTGTATATATATATGTGTGTGTGTGTATATATATATATATATATATATATGTATTTTTTTTTTCTTTTTTTGAGACAAGGTCTCACTCTGTTGCCCAAGCTGGCATACAGTGGTGCAATCAAAGCTCACTGTCACCTCAAACTCCTGGGCTCAAGAGATGCTCCCACTTCAGCCTCCCAAGTGGCTAGGACTACAGGCGCACACCATCACGCCTGGCTAATTTCTTTAAATTATTTTTTGTGGAGACAGGGTCTTGCTCTTACCCAGACAGGTCTTGAACTCCTGCCCCTCAAGCAATTCTCCTGCCTCAGCCTCCCAAAGTCCTGGGTTACAGGTGTGTGCCACCGTGCTCAGCCTTGTCTGCTGAATTTCAATAAAAAGTTTAAAACAAGGGGAACTGTCTCTGAATATAGTTATGTGGATACGCTGGATGTAAGAGTAAGATACAGTCTCTGAAGTTTTACTGTTTGTCCAAACAGAAATAGATTGTATATTACAGATTCAGCTATAATAAAGAAGATGCATGGTTTTCCACTGGTTTTTGATTATGTGACATTTCAAAAACATAAGTTGTTTCATTAAGATACTGATTGGTTAATGGAACTGTTGGGAAAAAAAAGATACTGGTTGGTTGGTTTTTATAAATGTCTTCAGCTGTGTGTACTGTCCGTGAGTAAATACTGAGAGGGCACTGAAGTTTATACTAATTTACATGTATCACCTACCAAAGGAAACCTAATCCATTTTCCAGCCCACAATTTTGGGCTCCCTCTGCCTCTTGCATTTCTATGTATTTCTATGAAGAGAACCAAGTGGCAAATATTTCCTGAGTTCCTATTACATGCACTGAGCTGGGTGCCAGAGAGTTTGGAACCTTAGGACGGGTATGAACATAACAGAAAAGAGGGAGGGACAGAATCTAGGAGGGGAGGCAGATGGGTAACAGGTCAGTGTCATGAGAGTCACAGCACTAAAGTCAGAGTGCAGGGGTGCACAGGCAGGAAAGTGCAGGGAAGGCTGCATGGAGGAGGTGGTGCCCAGGCTATGTCTTCAAAGGTGGGCAGGTGTGCCCCGGCAGACAGGGAGGCCGAGCATTCCAGAAAGGGAAGTGGAATGGGGAGAGGCACTGAGGCAAGGCCTGGGGGGGACATTGAAGGGAGCCACCCAGGGGCAAGGATAGGCAAGGCATAGAGGTTGGTGATGAGGCTGCACAGAGGTTCCCATCTGAAAGGCCTCTCCTGCTGTGCATGGAGCGAGGCCTTTCTGTAGGCGACGAGGAGCCGGGAAGGCTCAAGCTGAGCAGAGACCGGCTCCGTCCTGTGTTGAGGAAGAAGGCTCACTCTGGCTGCAACGTGAGGGATGGGGAAGCAGGGGGCAGGGCTGGAGGGAGTCGGGGAGCCAGTCGTCAAGCGAAGGTCTGAACTATGCCAGGGGCTGGGGAATGTTAAGTATGGAGGCAGAATTTGTGTTCCCAAATAGCTCTGAGGGATGCGAGAGAGGAAGGAGTCCGGATGACGCCCAGGTTTTTGGGTTGGGTGAGGCTGGGTGGGTGGTGGTGCTGCTCACAGAGGAAACACAAGGAGAGGCCGACGGGGGTGAGTTCTGGACATGCTGAGTTTGAGACTCTAGGACCAACTTCAGCAGGAGAGCAGGTTGCTGGAAAAAGCCAGTATCAAGGGAGAGACTTAAAATTGAGAGGAAATAGCTGATGGAGCAAGATGGGGGTCCTGGAGAAGAGGAGGTGCAGGCAGAGGTTACTACTAAGCTGAGAGCACATCTCTAGCTGCACGTGGGGCGAGGGACTGAGCGCAAAGAGAGCTTTGTTGGTTCACGGGCGGGAAGCTGAGAGAGGCCACACCTGACAGGTTCAAGGTTCTCAGAGAACATGAGCTGACATTCTGAGAATGGCCAAAGAGTACAAGGCCATTGTGGGGACAGGGAGAGGGAACTGACCAAAGTCATATAAAAGACTTGCTGAGGTAGTCTTGGAGGCCAAGCTGAGGTTGAAGCAATTTTTTTTTTTTTGGCTTGTTTTTTCTTAAACCATTTACTGTGGATTAATTGTCCCAAGGCTGTTCCCATGATCTTGAAAAAAAACTAGTAACAAAAGCTGAGTCCCTCAAGGCATGGACATGTAAGGGAAATAGCCTTTGTTACAGAGACACAGGGGGAATTGAGTTGTGAGGGAAGCCGTGGCAGAGGTAGGTCTGCCCAAGGACTGGAGCTTCTTGAAATCTTTTGGAGGAAGAAGTCATGACCTTCCACCCAACACAGAGCTGCACGAAGGCTGCTGTATACTGAGCCCTCTTTGCCTCTGTGGACCCACGTAGAGGAAGCAGTGAACCCTCAACCTTTCAAGAACCACGATTTGTTATTTTCCCAACCTGGTCCTACCATAATTCTGCAATTCCAGCTAATAATCTTGTTTCCTTTTTTCCTCAGAATATTTTGTGTTTCTACCAGGTAGGGAGAAGTGAAAAAAGCTAGAAAGTTTCAAAAAGCTTAGTATCAACTCTTCTGTTGAGTTGAGACTTAAAGATCCAGTATCTTCTACAACCCAGGTTTCCTTTACTAATCAAATTCCAGGACTTACTGTCAGCAGGGAAGCCATCCTATCTATTCTCCCTTACTGGTAGGACAGCTCTTGCATCTTCCCAGACAGATGGGACTCTTTCTATTAGACAGATGATGGGACTTCTTGTTCACAACCTCTCCCTAGCACCTAGGACAGTGATGGTACCTAAGTCCCCAGTGACTGTTGGCCAAATACGTGAAGGAATGGAACTAATTATGGGGATTTCACAGCCTACTTGGTTTGATTTAACAACCATCACTGCTTAGAACTTCCTTCTGGTGTCTAACTTAGCTGATTCCCAATGGCCATCTGGCTCCCTGGCCAAAGCTGCTGCTCCAAGTCTTGGTTGACAGATTGGATGTAGAGTCTGCAAAAGGCAGTGGAAAGGTATGGGCCCTGGTCAAGCACACAGGGGCCTGGGTTCACCCAAAGGTATGCTCTCTGAAACAATGGATTTTTACTCCCTGAAGGTCTTGGACCACTATCGGCCTGGGGCAGGATGGGAGGTGGGTGGGGAAGTAAGGTATGAGTTTGCTAACAGTCAAGTTCAGGTTTTTAACATGCGTTAAAAGACAGACTCCAGAAAAGAATGGGACTCTACTTTATTAGGCAGTATGGAGCATCCATCCTGTAAGAACCAAAGCCCATTCTGAGCACAGGCCCCATGTGTGGGAGGAGGCAGTCTCACATCTCCCAGAAACACCTCATCTACTCTCCTCTTCCCTAGTAACAAACCCCTTCACCTGTAATCGTTCCCATCGTCACTGTTTCCAGGCTGGAGGATCCCAAGATCAAGGGCGACATCTACAGGACAAACTCCTGATTCAAGCCCAAATCTCTCCAGGGGACAGACAATGTCCTCAAAATCAGCACTTCCTTAAAAATAATGTTCTTAGTATACAAAAGCTACCAGGCAGAACTCAAGGTCTGCATATATAAAATGAAAAATATAAGAACAGGGAAATAATAAGTGCATAGAGTAATTCAGAAATGATTATCGGGCTACGTATCTGTGGGGGTAAAGACACAAGCCCACCCCATAGCATGCAGGACTGATTCACTCCTGACGAGACAGAAACGACCATCCACTATGGGTAGGCAGCTGGGGGTCTCAGACTTCACTACTACACTCCAAACACAAAACCCCACAAGAACAGTGTGTTCCCCCCGGCAGCCGACTTACCACAGGACAGGAAGCAGAGACAAAAGCAAGCATGTAAATCTCCTCCATGTGTACCTTTCCCGCAGGCCCTGTCCACCTCTTATCAATGGGAGGGACACTGGGTCCGGGACATACCTCATGTTTCTGTGCTCCTGATACTTTCTAGAAATAGAAAGGGGCTTTACATGGGTGATTGAGAATTGGAGAAGCCCTTCCATCTTTACCTGAAACCAAAGCCCAAGACACCAAAGCCAGGAAGAGCAGATTCTAACTTGGACAAGGGGCCCTGGATGCTAACAGCTTGGGGTGAAGGCACCTAAGCCCAACAAAATGGCAGCCAAACAACCAGACCCACAATAATGGATTTCCAGTAATTCTCTGAGGACTCTGCCCATGTCATGGGCCACGCTATCTTCCACTCCACATGGAGAAATATTTCCTCCCTGTTTCACCAAAGAGGAAACTGAGGCACAGAGGAATCAAGAGAGAGAGGCCAATTAAGCCGTGAAATGTCACCAAAAAAGACCCAACTTTCCAGACTTTCCGCTCCTACACGCTGTTCTTGACCGTGTGTGGGGCTTGACTCCAACCACTACGATGACGGGGTTCTAGAAATGACAGTGAGCAAGGGTGAGATTCTGGCAAAAACCCCAAAGAGCATTTGGGAAGAACAGCTCTTTTAAAGAGACATCGCTGTTTGGGCAGTGTGGCAATTCCTTCTCTGGCCAGTCCCCTTACTTTCCCTCTTTGCCACTTCAGTAAAGTTTCTCTTTCATGTGAGTTCTCTGATGTGTAATAAAATTGGAGCTATTGCTGAACCCTTTGCCACACTCGGGGCACTTGTAGGGCTTCTCCCCTGTGTGGATTCGCTGATGTATAATGAGAACCGAATTCCAGCTAAAGCCTTTCCCACATTCGGGACACCTGTAGGGCTTGTCTCCCAAGTGGGCTCGCTGGTGCATGACCAGGATGGAGCCCCGGCTGAAGCTCTTCCCACACATGAGGCATTTGTAGGGCTTCTCGCCCGTGTGGGTCCGCTGGTGCACCACCAGCTGGGAGCGCTGGCTGAAGCACTTCCCACACTCGCCACATTTGTAGGGCTTCTCCCCCGTGTGGATCCTCTGGTGCTTGAGGAGGTTGGAGCTCCAGCTGAAGCTCTCCCCGCACGTCAGGCACTCGTAGGGTTTCTCCCCCGTGTGCATGCCCTGGTGTGCGATCAGGCTGGAGCTCTGGCTGAAGCTCTTCCCGCACACCCCACACTTATAGGGCTTCTCCACCATGTGGGTTCTCCGGTGCGTGGCCAGATTGGAGCTGCGGCTAAAGCTTTTCCCGCACTCACTGCACTGATAGGGCTTTTCTCCCGTGTGAGTTCTCCGGTGGGTGATGAGAGCCGAGCTCTGGCTGAACCTCTGCCCGCAGTCGGTACATTTGTATGGTTTCTCTCCCGTGTGGATTCTCTGGTGTCTGATTAGGTTCGAGTTGTAACTAAAGCTTTCGCCGCATTCCTTACATTCGTAGGGCTTTTCTCCAGTGTGGATTCCCTGATGTGTGTTCAGGCTGGACCGGTTGCCAAAGCTCTTTCCACACTCCGGGCACGAGTAGGGTTTCTCTCCCGTGTGGGTGCGCTGGTGAGCGATGAGATTGGGGCTCCTGCTAAAACTCTTGCCGCACTCGGCACACTGGAAGGGTTTCTCTCCCGTGTGGATCCTCTGGTGGGTGATGAGGTTTGCACTCCGGCTAAAGCTCTTCCCACAATCCCTGCATTTATAGGGTTTCTCCCCAGTGTGAGTAGTTTGGTGTCTACTGAAGTTTGAACCATCACTAAAGCTTTTTCCACATTCGTCACATTTGTAGTATTTCTCGCCCGTGTGGGTCCGTTCGTGTGTGATTAGGTGGGATTTCCGGCTGAAGGTCTTCCCACACTGGGGACATTCATAGGGCTTCTCGCCCAGGTAGGTGCCCTGAAGGCCTATGAGCTGGCCCACTTCCCTGCCATGGGACGGCATCTCCCCACAGTCCTCACCTGGGGTGTTTCCCTGGGGCCCCCCAGGGCCACAGTCTCTCTCGAAGTCACTTTCCCCATCGGATTGCTGAGCGCCTTCCACTCCGGGCATTTTTGAGAACTCATGTGACTCGACATCCTCAAACATGTCTTGATTAGAGTTCTCCCCATTTTCACTCTGTATCTCAAAATCTGAAACAATGAAGAAAAACATACAATGTCTACTCAATTCCCTATCAAGATGAGAAAAGGAAACCAAAGGGAAATTCATAAAAATTAAACCTCTAGTAAACACAAAGAGGCTAGAAAATCCTCAGCTTCTAAAAACCGGGTTTATTTCATTCTAACTGGTTATTTAGTTGCCAGGCTCCACATCTTTATGGCCATCACCCAGAATCTCAAAGTCGTAACGATTTGGGTTCCGTGTCTCTGTTTCTTCACCAGGAAATCAGGTCAGGTGGGAATTTGAAAATCCTAACTAAAGGACTGCAACAGGGTACACAATAGCCCCCAATACTCACTGTGGTGCCTGATGCTTAGTAGGTGCTCATTAAATTTGATGAGTGAATGAATGAGTTTTTTATTGGTGCCATAGAAATTTCCCTACAGCTCAGTCTCCTTTCAAAAGGAGCTTAAATAAGGATTTCTTGCATTAAAATGTATTTGGTATTTATAATCTTATTACTTGGCATTTAAGTAAGACACAGATGACAGAGCCCCTGCAACAAGGACCCTAGGTGTCTATACAAATAACTAGAAACAAGTCGGTGGGCAGTTAAAAGAGCCCTCAAATGTGTCTGCAGTGGAAGCCTATTAGACCTTTATTTGGTAATACAGAGCACATCTGTCTTCCAGGAACTTGTCAAACCCCGTATTGGCCTATACTTAGCAAACATGTGAGTGAAAGAAATTGTTAGGGAAGGTTGCTGGAATTATATAGCCCTTTCCTTGGACAAGAGACTCTAAAATCACTCTAGGATGAAGCCAGAGCAGCAGAGAGCTCTGAGCCTGGATCACACCGTTCTGACCCCTGGCAAAACTGTGTTTACTGAACAGCGTGTTGGCTTAATGGCCCTGGCTGACAATCTGAGTGTCATTAAAATTAATGGCTGTCAGGAACATTACTGCTGCCAGGAAGTTGTTGACAACATTGTTTATACTACACAATGTCCTCTTGATGAGACTGATGAACAAATTTCTCTCTTGACCTCAATCCCAAAAAGAGCTGCTCTTCTGAGCCTCTAATTTGTGTCTGCTTCATGCCCATGACTGTGGCTCCCTCTTTGCCTTGGCTGCTTGGAATCTCACAGACAAGAGCTTAGAGCAAGAATACTGGATGTTTTTATAGCATGCATTTTGTGTACTTTCATTTCATGGTTTTCCTCTCATTATTTTCTTTCTTACTATAAATTCCTTGTGCTATATTTCGGTAAAGTGTCTCCAGTCCTTTTTTGAAATTCTGTAGAGGGTACAGAAATAAATTAATAATGATGAAGACGATAGCCTGATTATTCCTAAGACCTAACATTGGACCTCCTGAGAAAACAGGGAAGACAATTAGTAAAATAATTATACAAAGTTTTTGTGACATTTCTATTATTAAAGCTAATAAACTGTTTACTTAAGGTGAGATCTCAATTCAACAAATTATGATTTTTGTAAGTTAATGTAAATTCCCATGCATGGGAATTCTCAGACAGGGCCTGGGTTCCACTCATGCCTTCAGTCAATGGAAGATCACATTTAAACTTGCAAATAAGCCTGGGCAATATAGTGAGACCCTGTCTCTACAAAAAAAAAAGGGCTAGAGTCCCATGGCATCAGGCTAGCTCACAGCAACCTCAAACTCCTGGGCTCAAGCGATCCTCCTGCCTCAGCCTCCCGAGTAGCTGGGACTACAGGCATGCACCACCATGCCCGGGTAATTTTTTCTATATATTTTTTAGTTGTCCAGCTAATTTCTATTTTTTGGTAGAGACGGGGTCTCACTCTTGCTCAGGCTGGTCTTGAACTCCTGACCTTGAGCGATCCTCCCGCCTCAGCCTTCCAGAGTGCTAGGATTACAGGCGTGAGCCACCACGCCCAGCCCACAAAAAATTTTTTAAAAATTAGTTGGGTGTGGTGGCAGGCACCTGTAGTCGCAGCTACTCTGGAGGCTGAGGCAGGAAGATCACTTGAACCCAGCAGTTTGAGGCTGCATGGAGCTATGATCACGTCACTACACTCCAACTTGGGCAACAAAGCAAGACCCTGCCTTTAAAAAAAAAAAAATTAAACTTGCAAATAGACACATAATTATATTTTGTGCTTACACTAACACACATGCTGCTGGTAACCTGTGGGTTTATATAATTGCCTCCAGCCCAAGTGTTTGCCCATATCTCCAGGGGCTGGGCAGGGTGTGAGGGGCACTCCTGCTTGCTCAGGGTGGGAATTCCATGCTTCCTCAACTTCCTACAAGACGGTTTCTTTGCAAGTTTTGGGCACAGAGCTCTGCTATCATATCTCTTCTAGAAGGACCTCCAGGCCAAGGCCCTGATTTATTTTTAGCAAGCTAACATGACCAAAAACATTTTTTTTGATGACGTTAGTAATTTTTCTCTTCTGAATAGGTATTATAACATTAGCTAATAAGGTTTTTCACCACTTTAAAATGAGAATCAGTAAGTTCTTGTATGAACTCAGAAGCAAAGGGAAAACAAGTAAAAACTCAAACTGATTTCAGTGAATCAGAAGAAAAATACAATTTACAGACATCGAAATACACATCAGGTCTTCCCAAAACATTAGAAACTGGGTTGAAGTGATGAGGAAGGAAGTGAAAACACTAAGCATGGAAAGTACTCGGGTGGGAGGGTGCCCAGGAGCAGATCTCAGAAAGCTCAGGCAGAAAATCACTTCCTGAAGGTTCCGGATGTGCAACAGTATGTTTGGGAACTGGGGTAAGCAGGGCTGGCTTCTTTGGTGCAGAGACTCAAAGGACGTAAGACTACAGCCAGAATCGCACAGAGGAGCCGCATCTGCTGGAAGCTGCTTCTGTAAGCAGAGGAGAGAGCCTTGGACCCATACGCATTAATCGGGGGAATTATTATTACTGAGAAAGGTGACCATTTCCATCCGTAAAAATAGTTAGATGAAGCAACCGCCTCTATAAAGGAATACTATACGGTAGAACTTAAGGAAGAGACAGTGAGACAAAAGGAAGGGATGAAACGTAAGCTGGAAGGACTCAGGCAAGAAGGGAAAAGTCTTTCAGAGAAATAAAGACAAGAGGGAAGGAGCACGATGGGAAACAGGCATCCTGGAAAGCAGAAAGGGGAAAAGACCAAAGTGAGAAAAGCAATTAAATGAAATGGAAACAAAGAAAGAGGTTAAAGAGAATGACAGAAACAGAAATAGGCAAAAAGAAAGTCAATAAACATATAACTGGAGTTCTCAAAGAAGAAAACTAAAAGGAACGAAATACTTAAAAATATAATCTATAAAGATACAAGAACCCTTGAAAGATCTACTGTGTGCCAAGGACAACTAACCCAAGTGGCCAACCAAGAGACAGGTGAACAACAGCAAAAAGATCAATCCTGATAAGAGGAAAGAAAATCAACTGGTTTTAAGATTTCCCCACAGTAACATTCAACGCCTGCAGCCAGGGGAGCAATAGCCACAGGATATGCAGGAAAAGAAAATGTATGCCAAGGATTTTATAATCAACAAAACTGCCCTTCAAGTATAAAACCTACAGGCAAAGAGCTTTGAACATATGCAGATTTGTGGAATATTAAAGGACGAACGCCTAATAAATTTAACGTTAGAACAAAGACTACAATTACCATGGCAATTAGCATGATTACAGAGCTTGTAAATGTTATAGTGTAGAAATGACACTCTAACCAAAACTGAGGTTGAAGGGTATAAGGTAGGATACAGGATATGTTTGCTGACTGCCTCATCTGTAATTACCTGGAAATCCAAAGGATAACATTTAACAGTGGCAAATCACGTAACGAAAGTATGAGTATATGAAAATAAACATTAAGAAAGTAATTGACTGAAATGGGGAGGAGGAAAGGGATTATCTCTGTCAGATGCTAAATATTATGAAATCTCAATAGTTAAAACATTAGTAGACCAAATAGACTGTACTCATGAGTTCAGTCTAGCTTTGATGATTTCTGTATTGCTTATGTGTTGCTCCATGAATTAATATAAATATATTGGAGACAGAAAATGTCTCAGGAGTTTCGCAAAGCTTTGCCCTGAAGGAATATGTAAACGTGTTACTTTGCATATCGAAAGCTGTTTCACCTCAGGAGGGCATCTCTGAAAGATGAGTAGCTGGCTGCATCCCACAGTGGCGCCGAGATTCTCAGACCTAAGGTTTGGACTTGCTTTGTAAAGCAAGGCAGGTCTGCTAAAAACTACAGGATGAGAGCTGATCAAAGAGTGCCCGAGGGACAGACAGCCACCTGTGGCTAAAAGCAATTAGCCCAAGGGACAGTTCCTGCTTAAACTTCTGACTACCTGTCTCCATTCACAATAACCTGATAAAGAAAATATGGAGCCAATATATCTCTGTTTAACCCCTCTGTTAAGTGATAAATTTACCTTAGAACTTAGAAGTTAGTCTTTGAAAGATTTTGTAACCATTTGTTCACGTAGAGTTAGTTAAGGGATCTGAAGAAGGCTTTTAAAAAACTGTTAACCTAAGAGGAACTACCTGTTGTTATGAAAATCTGTTACCCCTGGCAACTGATCACTGTACCTATAAATGACCATGTAAAACTTCACTCTTGGCCTCTGAGATTGACGAGAAATCCAGGCCCCCTGAGCACCCGCTTTGCCTATAATCTTTATAAATCTATAAAACTATACCTTCATCTCTGTGTATTCTTTTTTTCCATTATTTTCCATTTTCTATTATCTTCTTATCCTTTGCAACGACCCTACCAAAGGGACCTGATTTTTTGCTGGGAGCTTAGCTACCTCCCTGCACTTATGAAGTCCTTCCCCACCCTAAGATTACAAAAATATTTTCTTACGTGTCATTTCAGATCTTGTATAGTATAGATCTATAATCCATCTGGTATTTATTTTTGTGTAACCTGTGAAGCAGGGATCTATTTCTATGTAGGTTGAGAAGTAGAGATGCAATCTTTGTTTTTTCAAAATGATTAGACCACTGTCCATAAACTGCACTGAAGGGTTCTTGAATTGTCACAGGACCTCTCTCCTTATCGGTTAGCAGACAAAAGCTGCAATCCTAACTTGGTCTAAACCGAGTTAGGTTCTTGTATTTTCATGCCCTCAACACATGCGCTGGACTCACGTGCATGGCACGTTCCCGTGGCTGTTCACAGGGCCTTGCGTGTCCCCCTGCCTGGCCACAGGCCTCCTCTTTCTCTCCCGTGTTAGGAGGCATATCACAATGAATGTGAGGAAAACTGATGCCAATATGGGGATAAATTTGAATTTGCTGTAATTTATTTATAACGAAATAAATTGGTCACAAACTTTGGTGCTTTAGTGTGTAGCTCAAAATTCTTCTAAAGCCCTTCCTGCCTGTGACATACCACTGTGTCTCAAGACTGCAGTTGGAGCTATTCGTCTAAAATAGAGAAGTGATTCTGGTACAGGTTATGCCCAACTCCACTCTGACCTGGGCTCTGCCCAGTGGAGCAGCGCCCTGGCAAGCCTGCAGAGACCCGAACGTGCTGAGTGACTGGGAGCCCTGTTCCACCTGAACTCTGGCTGCTTAAAAGATTAACCACTGATAAAAAACAACAATGAACAGTTTAAATGAATGACTGCCAAACACTTTACAGTTATGTTACCTTTCCCTAAGAGTTCTATCTGGTATACTTTTCAAGCATGTAAGTAAACTAAAAGTAATTTTGTTTTGAAGCTAAGAATTGTAGCTCTAAAAAGACATCCCTTCACCATCCTCCAACACTCCCCACTCCTTTTCTAGCTAAGAAAAACAAATGTGTATGTTCATTCATGTCATTAAGGGAACATTTTGCTGGGGCTGCAAGCTCAAAACAGATAACCTGTTGCCTGTGACCACCAAAAGCCACATGATGCTGAGGGTGGCAGGAGAGGTCAGCTGTGACTCTTTGGCTCAACTGATGGAGGACAGTAGGTTTGAAGCCAATAACCTCTATTCCTTTCTAGTCTAGGATAGTGCTTCTCAAACTTCAGAGAGCATACAAATCACCTGGAGATCTTGTTAAATGTAGATTCTGCTTCAGTGGGGCTGGGGTGAGATTGACAGTCTGCACGTCCAATGAACTCCCAGGTGATACTCATGCTATTAGTTCACTGACTGTGCTCTGAGTAACAAGGCTCTAACAGCAAGGGTCTTTAAACTTTGCTGCATAATAGAACTCCCTGGGGAGCTTTCTAAAATTCCTTGCCCAGGCCACACCCCATACCGATTAAATCAGAAAATCAGAAGCCTTGGGAGTGGGTGCCAGGTCCCCAGGTGATTCTGATGTGGGTCCAAGTTTGAGAATGAGGTGTCCAGTGCAGAGGTTCTCAAACTGGAGTTTGAATCAGGATCACCTAAAGGGCTTGTTAAACCCTGGAGTGCTGGGTGCCAAGCCCGAAGTTTCTGATTCAGTAGTTCTAGGGTTGGGCCCAGAGGTTCATGACACTGGAGAGAGGAAAAGAGAGGAGAGAGAGAAGGGCGAGGGAAGAAGAGGGGGACAGAGTCCAATGTTCTGGGGGAGATGACTTCTAGGAAGGTGATTGATTAGAGATGGTTCCAGGTGTGTGGAACTGGGGATAGGGAAGAGGGACTGGAATAGGACAGCTTTATGAAGAGGGTCTCCAAGGGTGGGCACTCAAAAGACAGCTGGGATTTTATTACAGAGATGAGACAAGGCCACTCCAAGCCAAAAACTCAGAAGCAAAAGGTAAATGCTAGAAAGCACAGGCTACGTTCAAGAAACGGCAAGATCTGGTCTGAATGGAGTGAAGGCTAGAGCAAGGGGGCAGGGGAGGGACCAGGCTGCCAGGGAGGTCTGGGCCAGGTCACATAGGGCCGTGGATTCCATGCTGAAAAAGAGGTCATGCCTGATTTCGTGGACACTGGGAAACTCATGAAGATATTGAGGTAGGAGCATGCCCCAATCACTCTGGTAGGAGGGGAAGAGCTGTAATGAAGGGGAAGAGGCCAAAGGCATGTTCGGTCTGGAGGCTGCTGCAAGAATTCAGGTGAGAAATACCAGGAGCCTGGATTAGAGCTGGCTACGGGGATTACAATGTCCTTGGGAAACATTCAAAAATAGAGACGAGCTTCGCCACTATTAATATAGTCTGATCTTAATTGGAATTACAAGACATTTTTTGAGCACCTGGAGGTTCCTATTAGTCAAACATTAAACCACCACCCAGTGAGGCCTGGAAATGTCCTGTTCTGGGTAAATGTGAACAAAGGTCCCAAGGTGGACAAACAGAATAGAGGTCAAGTGGTCTGGTGTTGAGTAAATGTTTGAGAAGGGACGAAGCCAAGTGCAGCGATTCCTGTGAGCAGGCACTGGGAAGGGCGGGAGCAACTGCTAAACAAACCAAGCCCGGCAAAGACCACTGCAAACGCAGAAGTCGGGACTGACACACCCACTTGTCTGGGACCGTCCCCATCTCGGATGTCCAGTAAAAGATGAAAGGCACAAAGTCGCTGCAGCAAGCCAGGTGGGAAGGGCTGTAATCACCTCAGACACCTGCTGAGACCGGAGCCTCTGCTCTGTGCCTCCCAACTAAATAACCACCCCAGAGCTATCTGCTTGGCCGCAACCATGCTGCCTCCGCCAGAGGGTCTAACTGAAGATCCTCAAGTTCACTACAAATTTGTCACACCCATCAGGGGGCAAGGAAACAGTTTTGAAATAGGATGAGAAGTTTTTGTAAACAGGAGGACTAAACTTAAAAGTTATTTTTCAGGGCCAAGAAAATCAGGTACTTCACTTCACATAAAACTTAGGCTCTCTCAAACACACGTGGAAGCAAACAGTTTGAATCCTGGCTCCACCAGGTGACAGCTGTGTGTTCTTGCTGAATTTCCATTTATCTGGGAAACGACAGTCCCACCCACCTCACAGGATTCTTAGAGATGGACATGTAAGGTGTCAGTGCAGGGCTGTCACCGTAAGCCCTCAAGGTCAGCTCTTTCTTCAGAGGACAGCTTTATTCCTACCTCCCAGTCTCAGGAGGTTGTCATAACCACTGCCCCAAACCACCTTCCTTTTCCTTCTCTTCCCTTCCCAGTCTTCTTTTTTAATTTATTTTTTATTCTTTTAGAGACAGGGTCTTGCTCTGTCACCCAGGCCGGGGTGCAGTGGTGCAATCATAGCTCACCGTAACCCCGAAATCCTGGCCTCAAGCAATACCCCACCACCACCACCTGAGCCTCCCAAAGCGCTGAGACTGTGGGCATGAGCCACTGGCCCGGAATCCTCCAGGCTAGATGCCCCGGAGTTAGTCACTTTGTCTCAATCCTGTCTGCATCCCCTCCTTCCAACAGCCCACTAGGAACTGTCACTTAGCATCACACATGTGATAAAATGTTTAAGGACATGGACCATGTCCTCAGACATATAAGTTCAAATCTTGGTTCTGCCTCCTACTAGCTGCATGATCTTAACAGACTCACTTAACTTCTCTGGTGATGACAATCCTGTTTATCTTCACAGGCTGTGAAGTTCACATGAGTTTTGCATATTAGATGCTAAGCATATTTCCTGGCCCACAGAAAGAGCTCAAGAAATGCTAGCCATTGTTACTCTTAGTTCTTTCTCACACGTGTCCAGTCAGGGGCCAACCCCTGTCACTGCAGCCCGATGACCGGGCAACTTCCCGGCTGCTCTCCTGCCTCTAGCCTCTCCCTCCTCTAATCAAACCTACATCCTGTTGCCAAACTCAGCTTCCTCCCATGCCTCTTGGGCCCCAGTTGAGGCCAATGACATTCAGTTCAAGCCTTCATCCACCCTTCCTCAAACTCTACCTACCACTTCCTAAAAACACACTTTCCACTCCAAACAGCCAGCCCTCCTCACTGTCACCTGAAGGAATAAACTATGCTGGCTCTGCCCTTCCAGGCCTTTGCTCAACACGACTCCTTTCGCTCCACACCCTGCTCCCTGCCCCCAACCTTTCCCAATTTGACTCTCTCCTGCTCAGGTTTCATGTCCTCCATGAAGCCTTCCCTGACCTGACCTGACCTCTCCACGTTCCTTTCTCTGAATTTCCACAGTCCTCATCAGCACAAAGGCAGCCCTGTGCCCTGGGTCCCAAAATAGTCCTAGGGGCACAGGTAGATCTGAAGTAAGTATCTGGTAATCGAGTGGGTCTAGTTTCCAGCTGAAAACCAGAACGGACACAGAGCAGGTAAAGGGCACGCCAGGAACCCAAAGCTACCAGTAACACAGGCGGCAAAGAGCTCAAGTTTTGAATTACTCTTTTAGGAGCCCAGGATAACTTTATACCACAGAAAGTCCCTAGTTATTAGATGGTTTATTTGCCACTTATCTTGGGTTTCATAAAAATACTCACTTTGAAGAAAATCAGATTATTTGGTTTTTATAATTGCTGGAACTATGTGGAGGTTTATTGTACAACCAAGTGAAGGTGCCAAGGGGTGGTTTGTAGGGGTTTTATTCAGCCCCTCCCCCCAAAACACCATCAGCCCCCCCACCACTCCAAACACGTAAGTAAAAACTATGTATGCAAATGTCGCTCCAAGAGCAGTCCTCTAAGCCCCTCCAATGCCGAAGTCCTAGAGCTACCACCGCACACGATGAGGGCATTAAAAGGGTGAAGAGTGTGCTGACTGTCTGCACAGCAGAGGGATGGCCCTGTCCTAGATACCCCCACTCTGTCCTAGATACCACCTCCGCCTCCTCCACCCTCTCCCGTTCTGTGTCTCACCACTTTCCTGAAGGGTCTGGGTCAAGTCTTCCACCAGGGCTACTGCCTCCTCGCTGCTTTCGGGCCTATGCTCTTGCAGCCAAGCCTGAATTTCCCTTGGCAGCACGGTCAACATCTGCTCCTTGGTGTGCACCTCTGGCCTCAGCCAGCGCCGACAGAGCTCTCGGAGGCGGCTGAGCGCACCCTGCGGTCCCCCGGCCGCTGCCTCCTCCTGGGGGCTGCCCTTGCCGGCACTCTGGGGAAAGGGCTCAGACTCAGGGCCATCCTCCTGCAGTACAGCTTCCTGCACCCAGGAGTCATCCTCCAGGATCATAGTGGTGACCTCCTCCTCCTGTCCATCTTCTTCTTGAGACACCTGGACCAAGGGGCTCAGGGGAGCGGTCACTCTCGGCGCCTCTGCAGCCATCATCCACGTTCCTGGGGCGATCACTCAGGCTTCAAGCACTGACCTCAGTCTCCTCCAGCCAGGCTCTCAGAGAAGACACCTCCCTCCTCAAATCTCAACAAGTAGTCCTGCTGAGAAACAAGAAAGAGAACCAGAATCCATTAGTAGACTGTCCTAAAGCAATCTAAGTCACAGCAGCCCACATCAGGCCACCAAGTGATCCTTATATCCGCAAGTCAACAGACGTTTCCTGTCCCTCTTAAAGGAAAAACAGCTTATTACTAAAAACATATTTCTCTGTAGTAAGAAAAGATACAAAAAAATACAGCATTGTTCTTTCCAAAAGACCAAAGAATGAGTATCAAAAATGCAAAGTCATCCAAAAAACACCCAGGACTGAGTTATCTTGCCCTAAGTCAGTTCAGACTTGCTGCTGAGCGAGTGACCTTGACCTGACATACAGCTTAGTCACTTAACCTCAGTGACCACCTAAGAAATATAGATAGTGACACCTTAAGGAGTAGCAATGGATGGGATGTCAAGGCTGTCTGAACTTCATTGGAAGGAAGGCAGTATCTCAACCACGTTATTACCATACTTTAAAGTATTAAGTTTTTGGTTTTTGGGTTTTTTTTTTTTTTTTTTTTTTTTTTTAAGAGAGAGGGTCTTGCTCTGCTGCCCACGCTGGTCTCAAACTCCTCTCGCCTCAGCCTCCTGAGTAGCTGGGATTACAGGCATGAGCCACCAAGCCCAGCTTAAAGTTTTAAACATGTTCATACTCTCTGATCCAGCCTTGGGCCCTCAGTAATTTATCTTTAAAAAATAACCATCTGGGCTGGGTGCAGTGGCTCAAGTCTGTAATCCCAGCACTTTGGGAGGCTGAGTTGGGAGGATTGGTTGAGGCCAGGAGTTCCAGAACAGCCTGGGCAATAGCAAGACCCCGTCTCTACAAAAAATTTAAAAAAAATTAGCCAAGTGTGGTGGCATGCACCTTTAATCTCAGCTACTCAGGAGGGTGAGATGAGAGGATCACTTGAGCCCAGGAGTTTGAGGTTGCAGTGAGCTATGATGATGCCACTGCATAATTCAGGCAACAGAGTGAGACCCTGTCTCAAAACAAACAAATAAAAAACAACAAAAACCCCATCTCTGTAAAAAGAAATTTATTTGCAAAGACACACAACCATAGCACTGTTTTTGATTGCAGAAAATGGGCTCCTTAAAAATCCAGTAGCAGGGGAATGGTTAATTAAACTATGGCACTTCCACACAGTAGAATGTATTAGAAATTATACTAACATAATCAAGACTACCTTTGGGGGATATTGACTGGGTAGGGGCTCAAAGGAGCATTCTGAGGTGCTGGAAATTTCTTATCTCTTGCTTTGGCAAATGGTTGCACAAGACAAGAGCATACATACGAAATTTCAGATTCATACACTCCGCTGTATGTATGTTTAAACATTAAAAAAATCATACTGACAAAGATTATTAATCATTAATGATTTAAGATAATCCTCCTGTATGAAAATAACGGATAAAAACAAAACCCACAAAGCAGAAAAACCATAGACACAATGAGGCCCCGATTTCCTTTAAAAATGAACACACAGAGGAAAAAAGACCTAGAGGGCAACTCTGCAAAATACTGAGAGCAATGGAATTACAAACGACTTAAAATAAATATTATGAAAGCAATGAAAAATTAGTTTTAAAACTAATTACATCATAAAGACTCAGATAATCCCCCTCAAAAAGAAAAGAAAAAGTAGAAAAAGCTTAAAAAAGTGAGAGAAGAAAAAAGAAAAGCTAATGGGAAAAACGAAGCTCTCAAGGTGTATCTACCCAAATGATTAAAAGAAACAGATATAACAGAACGCAGAACGCTCTCCTACTTGGGAGCCCAGGAAAACTGTGCCTAGTCAGCTAATTTGCTGTGTGACCTGGGACAAGACACACCCCCTCTGAACCTCAGTTTCCCCATCTGTAAAACGAGGAGGATGCGCGGGAAGTCGAACGTCCCTTCCAGGCCAAACATTGCGCTTCCTGGCAGGATATGCAAGGAGTTCTCCGTCGGGAAGAAGAGTCCGGGTCGGTTCGCGGAGCCGGGCGAGTAAATCCGAGCGGTCCCCGCCCGCGGGACACGGACAGCGCCCCCGACACCCCTCCCCCAGCAGGGCTTCCGGCAGCTGGCCCCAGGCCCGTTATGCCCTGGCCTCGGGCTACAGTCCTGGGTCCCCAGGGCCCAGGCCTGCCTCTCCAGCTCACCTCTCCGGAGACCAAGTCCTGCTCTGGCGGATGCTCCGCGTGCGAAAGCGCCCCCGGGCTCGGCCCGGCCCCTCCGGATTTACCTGGGCTCCAGCCCGTGGGGCACCGAGAACAATGGACGGGAGAGGCCCGCCCACCGCCGCGCTCATTGGCTGCCGTGAACGGCCCCTGGAAACTCTTCTTTTCTACTGGTGAAGACGGCGCCCGCCCAGCGGCGGGAGGGAGGCTGGGCTCGGGGCATTGTGGGAGATGTAGTCCACCCGGAGACGTACCGGACCGCGGTCCGAGCAGCAGAGTTATGTGGGTAGCCTGGGCAATGCTCGAGGGTCAGAGACAGGAAAGTCCGCGGACTGGCCGTCAGGACATCAGTGTTGCCAGAGCTGTGGCATTTCACCTCTCTAAAGCCTCTGCATATTTCTCTATGAAAAGTGAAAGTTAGATAGACGTACTTGAAGGTCTTTCTCAGCCGCGAAGCGTGTGTCAAGTAATGTTGTTAAGCCCCCTCCCGACAGGCGACAGCAGACCCCGAGCAGGAACGGAATTGTGCAGGAGAAGCCCCTCAGCGCCAAGGCCGGCGCCTCTGCCCCCAGTTTGCAGCTGCGCACGTGCACCCGCCCTCGCACACCCCTTTGTTGTGGCACGTGGTGTTCCGACGTCTGGAGGACTGCCCCGCCCCTGTGCCGCGGAGCTCCTTGCCCTCCCACCTCCTCTGCGGAGCCCGCCCTGTCCTCACCACCCCAGGCACAGACACTGCCCCTGGCACACCTGTTCTTCTCCATTTTAGTACTTGTCACGGTGTTGCTTACTTGTCAGTCTTAGCCCTGGGAGAGTGGCCGGGGGAGTGGGGGTTTGCCTCTGTCAGGGTCACGCTGTTGAAGAAAAGGCTGCCCCAACACTGCATGAAAACGGGTGAGAAACTGCCTGGAAACCCAAATGGAAAATCAAAGAATGAAGAGAAAGACACCCTTTTAATTGTGTATGTTTATACAGAGCGATTGCTGGAGACACACATAATCAAATGACTATCTTTAAATTTTTTTTCATTAATTTATGAGTGAGAAATGTTTCATGTTTATTGGTGACTTTAATCTTGTTTTCTGTGAACTAATTGTTCATATCCTTTTCCCATTTTAAATTTATCTCTAAGAGCTCTTTGTATATTAAGAAAATTATCTTTTTTTTTTTTTTTGAGATAGAGTCTCACTCTGTTTCCTGGGCTAGAGTGCCGTGGCGTCAGCCTAGCTCACAGCAACCTCAAAGTCCTGGGCTCAAGCCATCCTCCTGCCTCGGCCTCCCAGAGTGCTGGGATTACAGTTGTGAGCCACCGTGCCCGGCCCAAATTTCTAAATTTAATAACCAGCAATAGTAGCAACTGTTGTGACAGATAATTTTCTTGGCCGGGCGCAGTGGCTCACGACTCCGTCTCTGCAAAAAATAGAAAAATTAGCTGGGCATCGTGGCACTCAGCTGTAGTCCCAGCTACCCGGGAGGCTGAGGCAGGAGAATCGCTTCAGCCCAGGAGTTTGAGGTTGCTGTGAGCTATGCTGATGCCACAGCACTCTAGCCTGGACTACAGAGCAAGATTATGTCATTCAATCATTCATTCTTTCTTTCATAAATAAATAAAATTTTTCTGCTGTCAAATTTGTTAATATTGTCTTTTTATAGCTTCTGAGTTTTGTGTTAGAAAGCCCTCTGTATCACTCCAAAGATTATTTGAAATTCACCGGTTTTTCACTAATTAATCTCTTTAATCCAAATACAAAGATGCAAAGTGAAGTTCTGCTGGTGAATCCTATCATCCAATAGCACCCTGGTTGCACCTTAATTTATTAGCCCTATCTGAGCACATGCAAACAGCACCATCTCCCGGCCAGCCTGAGAAGTCTGCACTAAGCTCCTGGATGCAGAATTCCCGGCCACCAACTCTCCAGTGGTCACCATTCCTAGAGAGAAAGATCCACAAAATGATTGAGGATGACGATATGGGGGGATGACATTGTATAAACAAAGATTTGTTTCTCCACTTGTCCATCCTTACCAGGAATGGAAATTTACACAAAAAGGAAGGGATTGGGGAAGGGACGTGCACAGCTGAAACTTTCCAGCAGCCCAAGAGTCCATTTACTTCTGGTCATATCCCAAGTCAATGCTTGACCACAAGAACTGGCACTAGCTTCTCACTGGAGAGTCCTGGAGCCAGCCATCTCTTCCCTTTGCCTGATTCTGGGAAGCTGGTCCTGGCCAATGTGAACTGCCCTAGGTGAGACAGAGAGCAAGTCACATCTAAGACCAATTCATGGCATAATGGTCCTACTGAGAAAGTACCCTAAGACCATCTTGGGACAATGAGGCAAGCCTAGAAATACAGCCACGTTCAAGGTTGCTCCTCCAAGTGATTCCTTTCTCCACTGGCCAAACCACAGGGGTGAGAGAGGCTCTCTTCTACCAGGGAGCATTCTTGGTTACAAGCTTCAGAGAACTACTCTGGCTAAGTTAAGTAAAAGGGACTTATTGAAAGACTGTCAGGGATGTCACAGAGTAGATGGGAGCTGAAGGATCAGGCTTGCAACAGCTGGGAATCAAGGAACTAAGAGTAAGGCCCCAGGAACCACAATAAACAATCCCTTGACAGAAACAGTCCAGCCTGCCCACCCCATGACCTCTGGTGTTACTACAGCCATCTCTGTTTCCCTGCCCTTCTCACTCAAATTTCCAAGTGCACAGAAAGAGTATTTGGTTGGCTGAAACTGAATCACATGCATACCCCCTGGATGCACCAGGGTGAGAGGGGATCGGATCTGGCTCCTAGCTTTTTTTAGTAATACCCCACACGAAGGCAGATCCTCCACTCTGGAGACTGAAGGCATGTTAGGAAAAAAAGCACAGGCAGCAACAGAGTCACTACTGGTTTTTAGATGCTGACCAAGAAGGGACCTCGCCCCAAGGAATGCTCAGCCTAAGGCCTTCAGGGGCCCTTAGCTCATCTAGAGTTAATGAAAAATGATAACGGTTGGGGTGGAGAGAACCTACTTTCCATAATAACGTGTCAGGATCAGGACTAATGACCCCTGAGCAGGTAAGGCCCAGGCATGGAAGCAGAGGGGCCTTTGGGCCCTGAGGATGCATGAAGTACCTCCTCCTACCTAAGACCCCCATCTGCTTAATCCAATCTACTTCCTCGGTGTCAGAGTGAAAAAGGAGTCTCTTCTGGTTGTACCCAGGGTATGTGTCTCATTTTTGTTAGTTATGCCAAAGACCCAGGGCCACTAAATGTGATTGGAAAAAGACCATTGAAATGGACAGTGTTGTAGAATATTGTAAGACTGGCCGAAGGAGAAAATAAAATCTAAAGGGATGCTCATCCTAAGAATGCCCAGAAAGAAAGAGAGACTGGGAACAGGATCAGGGAAACGTTTCTCTTAAAGAAAGAGTGAGATTCAGTCCAAGGAAGTGTCAGTGAAAAATTGTGAAATTAAGTATCACATGACACATGCCAGGGTAAAAACAATAGCTAGAGCAGAATTTTTTTTTTGTATATAATGGGATTTTTTTCGTCTCCCAAGGCCAGTATCTTTTTTGTTTTTTATTACCAGTTGGCATTAATAGTGTGGCAGAGGGAGGCCCTTTAACTTTGGGGCTTTGGATCTTGTATTGCTCTTCAGAGGACATTGGCTTTTCTCTTACTTGTCCTGTGCTGGCCTGGGCTGCTCCAGGATTGGATACTCCAGGCCCTGTTCCAGCCCTTTCCTGCCATGGGAAGAGAGGAAAACGGATTTACAACCTCTGACAAGTTCCCATGCCCTATTCTGAACTGCTCTATTCAAGGATGTTTGTGGGAAGACACAAGGGTGCTCTGGGCTGCACAAAATGATTTGGAGGCGGCCCCAGTGTGAAGTGGTTCTTGCCAAGACACAGAGGCAAGGGTGGTACCAGGGGTCGCTTGGGACAGGGTGTGTTTTAGAGGGGATTTATCTCCATAATCTTCAATGCTCCCCAAGCTATTACAAATGAAGACTAAGTATAAAGATAGGAAGAAAAAAAAGGATAGGGGAAAAGTTAAAAAAACACACATGTACATATGTATTTATAGTCCCTAGGCTGTTTGGTTTATATTAATAGGAAGAAAATTATCCCTAAAATAGTTGACCATTGGGAAGAAAAATAAATCTTGTACCCTTCAGTAAAAGCAGTGCACTTGGTAAGCAAAAGTGGCTTCAAGACAAGTTCCCTAACTGGCTTGTCAAACCAGACTGCTGATCCTG